GTCCAAGACGGCGTGGTCGTGGAGCCACGGAAAACAGTCTAGCGCTAGCGTTGCGTTTCGGAGCGTCGCGCCGTGGAACGCAGACATGATGTCGTTCAGAACAAAATCGTCGGGGTTGGGCGCAAAGCGCTGAAGCAACAAGACACCCGGCGTGTCCTCGCTTCTCAAGACATCGTGCAAGACACGTCCGAGGAGGTACGAAGCACGCCACGCCGAGTCGCCTATGCCACGATATGTGTCTTCCGCTGGCAATGACGCTCGGAGCAATAGCGTACCTGTGTCGCTCTTGGGGCGATCGAAAGCGGCGCGTCGCTGCTTTAAGAGAAGCTCTGCGATCTCGAGGCGATTCGTGTGCAAGGCCAGTAGGATCGCGTCGTCGGATGCGAGGTCTGGGCGGCAGCGCAGCATGCGCTGGGTGAGGTGCTCGCAGCCATGGGCGCTGGCGAGGTGCAGTGGCAGGCGGTCGTCGTGCTGACGCATGTGCAGAGCGCAGTCGGTGGGCTTTCACTGTGCGAGACCTTTGGCGTCTGGCGCGAACTTCGCATGGAAGGAAGCGTCGCAGTCGTAGACGTTGTGCACGGCGTCGAACTCGACGAGTTCGTTGCAGGCGCGGAAGACCGGGCGCACGTCTGCGTAGACGCCAAACTAAAACTCAACCACAATGGCCGCAAGCTCGGGTAGCGCGAGTAGCACGCTGCGGAAGGTCGATGCCATCGCCTCGCACCTTTTTCCCGCTGGATCCCAAATTTTGGAACGTCGCCGGTGGCGTATCCGGCAGCTTGTCCGGATACGTCGATGTGACCCGAGTGGCAGAGTTGTTTCAAGGCCATCGTCCGCACGCCTCGCACGGCCGCGCAAGAATTTCGCTGCCACCGCTTGTTTGGTCACACGGACCATGTAACTATGTCTGGCTTCAACTCATTTGTCTTGCTACCACTGCGACTGTCTGCCCACCGACGCCAGCACCCCGTCCACACTAGTACCGGATTGCTGGGTGATTTTTTCGCCAAGGTGCCGATACTCGATATCCAACGGTTTGCTCTATCGATACGTGCAAAATTCACCAAGATCTACTCACACTGAACACCGACGTGCAGAAGAAAAGGACGTGCAATCCGCGCCTTTTTTAGCTCTGAAGACTGCGAGCGCTCCTTATGATAGGATGGCGCTCAACACGGTACCTCAAAGAGTGCTACCATGAGCGACGTAGTCGCTACAAGTGTACACGATGCAAACCACGGCGTGCTAAAGTCGTCGTTTGATTGCTGACGTTTTCAGAGCGCTTTGTATCTTCAATCAAGCATTGCGCGCGTTGTAGGACGACAGCAGCAACGTAGCGTGGTCTGCTCTACTCCCCAAAATGTCTCCTGTCCGAGTACTAACTATGGGCGATTCCATTTCAAACATGATGGTGTCGACAAGTCCGTCCTGGAGCGGTGCCTCTAAGATGGCACTACGATCTTAGCGCACCATGAACGCGAGGAGCCCGTGACAGCGAACGCGGCCTCGCACGAGCGGTGGCGCTGCTTCAGCGTCTTGAGATGATGTAAATGATCGACACGTGTGCTGTTTGGACGTTTCGTTAACGTATAATGACAATGCTTACAAGATTGTCTGTTTCTGTTTGTCATGGAGAAGCATCCATGCGAACCAGAGAACGTGGAATTCCCGCGACTACTTTTCGCTGCATGGGTTTGTAACACGAGGCAGTTGTTGTTGGCGCGCTACAAGGGCCATCATCCGATTGCGGTCGGTTGATGCAATGGAATAAATTAGCTTATTTATTCCCTTGGTTAATGGAACCAGATGTCCATCGGACTTCGTTGGCTTTTGCGGAGCTTCCTTCCGAGGGACAAACAAACGGCCGACTTGAAAGTGCACCTCCAAGATAGGACAATCTCAGAGGAGACTGCTACAAAAGACTCGGAAGCAACCTCCGCAAAACGTCACCTCTACTGCGATTGTCTTTTGCCTTCGTCGTCTTTATCTCTATCATTTCCACTTTGGATTCTTCTTGAACGCATCGCATGCAGCTCTTTCGCCTCCTCACCTCGCTTCCGGTCCAAGTCCGTGTCGCAGCTCTACAAGGACGCCGTCATGGAGGGCGGCAACCTCGTCGTGTACCACGGCGGCGACTTTGCCGGACAACAAGCCTTTGTCGCCGACGCCTTCCGCGCCGCGTTCCCAAAGGTCAACCTCACCATGGTCGTCGACTACAGCAAGTACCACAACGCGCGCATCGACAACCAGCTCGCGACCAACTCGCTCGTCGCGGACGTCGTCGCACTCCAGACGCTGCAGGACTACCCGCGTTGGACGAAGGAAAGCAAACTCCTCTCGTACAAGCCCAAGGGCTTCAGCAACGTCTACAAGGGCTTCACGGATCCCGACGGCGCGTGGCTCTCGCACGGCGTCTACTCGTTCAGCTACTTTTACGACGAGGCGCTTTTGCAGGCCAAGGGTCTCGCGCCGCCAGCGACCGCCAAAGACCTCGCGGACCCCAAGTACGCGGGTCTTATTGCGTCTTCGTACCCGCATGACGACGACGCGGCTCTCTTTGTGTACGACCGCTACGTCAAGGCGTGCGGCTGGGACTGGGTCAAGAAGATGGCGGCGCCGCAGATTTACATTCAGCGCGGCTCGCACATGGCCGGCGTCACCGTCACGGCGCAGACCAAAGCGATTGGTGTCGCGGGCGGCCCGTCGTACACCAAGACGACCAAGGCCATTATGGGACCCAACGCGACGTCCGACTACCTCGCGTGGGGCCAGCGCATCGCGATTCTGAAGTAGGCGCCGCACCCCGCGGCTGCCAAGCTCTTTGTCAACTGGGTCGTCT